ACAAGAAATGAATAAATATCAACCAATCAATATACATATATATATATATATATATATATATATATATATATATATATATTACATATCTATTCTTTAACACTTAGTTATAGTTAAGTGATATGCATTTTCACTTTAATTTTAATTTTATAGATTACCGTGGATTGACGGGTCTAACGGCTCAACCACACTGGAAGAACGATTTAGCTAGCATTTAGACATAGATAATATATTTGGTCTTGAAAAAAAAGAGTTTATGAAGTTGTATATATTGAAAAAATAGGTTTTGGAAGTTGAAGTTGTGTTTGGACATGTATTTTACTTGATATTTTTTTTGAATTTTTGTGAGTGGACGAAAAGATTTTCACCTACAACTGGTCCAAATCAATTTTGGAACTAGAAATTTTTTCAAAAACTGATCAAATTTCATGAATAAATAAATTATTTTTTAAAAAAAATCTATGTCCAAACGAAAGCTTAGAGTTTGGCGAAGTCACGCGCAGGGGCGGACACACCCTTTCGCAAACGGTGTCATGTGACACTGCTTGGTCCAGAATTTAATTTACTAAATACAGTCAAACATCTCTATAACAACCCCGTTTGTTCTGATATTTTTGGGCTGCTATAGTGAAGTATTGTTATAGAGGACATATATTGTAACATAATATAAACATCGATTCCGGGAAAAACTTGACTTTTATAGTGAATGACTGTTATATAGGAATGTTGTTATAGAGATGTCTGACTGTATACATCTAAAAAGATGAAATTATTGGGGATAAATATAGAAAATGACATCGCTTATCATTATAGTGATTTATTGTTTTGTTCATTTCTTCAAACATTGACACCGCTTGTTAAAAATTCTGCTTACGCCACTATTCACGCGCCTAGAATTTAGGGATTGGTTTTGGATATCTTGTGTCACGAAATTTTAAAAAAAAAAAAAAAAAAAAAAAAAAAAAAAAAAAAGAACGTGTGAAGGACCTGAAGGTGCATGTTTGTGTTAGTGGAGGAACATTGTACCATAATTGGTGCTGGATTAGCTGAGTTTGGCTTAGGTGTAATCTTTGCTTTGACCACTACACTATTTGTTTCTGCAGGTCAAATCATTTAAGAACTGATTTCACAGTATTCATCTTACAATTAATTTTATTTAATTAAGATGATAAATGATTTCAGATTTTTATTATGATACTTTAATTTAAAAATTCCAACTTTATCTAATTGAAATGTCAAAATAAAATCGTAATTATATTTTAAATAATTAAAAATATATATTTATATGTAAACAAAAGTAATATAATAATACTAGATATCTTGTATAATTACTTACGTTTTATATAAAGTGGGGAAAGAAGGAAGATATGTTAAATTAAGCAAGGATGTTTGGAAAATATAATTTTTGAAATATGATGTTTTTGTCCTGAAAAAATAATTTTTTATTTCTACTTCTGCTTCCGATTAGAAGTAAATAAATTTTTGGTTCCTCCCTTCAACAAGGGCAATTCTGCTAGTACTAATTAGGATATATGGTTTGTGAAACAGCTTAAATCAATAAAATAAGTATTTTTTTTCTTCAAAAAACGCTGCTCTTAATAATTAATATTATCTGAAAAGTAATATTGATTGTGGTTTTAATTTTAGTTTTAAAAAGGAAATACGTAGCTACAGAGGTAGAGAAATAATTCTAATCTAATAAATCGGTAAACTAAGAGAATTTCCATGATTTGATTGAATGACAAAACGAAGCATTAAGGGAACAAAATTTAAGGAGGTGACGAGAATGTGGTAAATATAGGAAAATATCAACCACGACGATTACCTACATGGGAAAAACAATAGAAAGAATTACAAGAAAATACACATGACTTGATACCATAATAAAAAATGGCCCATGTTTTTAAGTTTTACCTTACCTAGTCCATATTGTACATATTTTGAAAGCACTTGCAAATTCAAAATATATATTTTTACAACAATTGCTTCTAAAAGCTATGGAGTTAATTCTTTGTTCTCACAACTATTGCTTTCACTCTCTCTTCTTCTCACATCTTTTACATATGCTTCAAAGGACCGTGTATTTTCTGCTTCTCTTCTTGTGCCACCTGCTTGCAATGAAAGAAAATTGAAGAGTAGAAGTCCATCATTGAAGATCATTCAAAGCTTTGCTTTTGAAAATGGGTTGTTTTGAATTTGTTAGTTGTTTGGATTGGGTATTGTTCCAATTGATTGAAAATATCAAAAGGAGTACAAAATTTAAATTTGAAGTGATTTGGAGTAGATTTGAGCAAGATTTGAATTAAATTTCAGAAAAGACGCAAGAAAGAAGACGAAGTAAGTTTTTTGTATAATTATGTATAATCTTGTATAATATTGTATATGAGTGTAGAAACACACCTTATACGTTGTTATACACCTTTATACAAGCGTCTGTAGACGAACTTCTTCCACGATTTTCAGTTGCAATTCTTATTCAAAACCAGTCCAAATCTCCATTAAATGACTTCAAATTTTATATACAACCTCCTTATACTATTTCTGACAAGTCTAAATAACACCCAACTCCAAATTTTTCATAAAATCAAATTCGAAATTTAAACCCACATATTTAAGCTTGTTAAAAATCTAATATTCACCACCCAAATGAAGTTGGTTTGTTGAATTAATATTTGAGTCACAATTACTGATTCGAAAAGTAATTTAAAAGCTTGAGGAATCTTTTTTAAAAATTAAATAGTAATTTTGAGAACCTATTGGAGTTGGATGTTGAATCTTAGCCTATTATTTATGGGCTAGTTGGTTGTAAATTGAAATATGGGCTATAAAATTAATAAG